CCTCCCGGTGCCCCCGGGCCTCCCGGCCACCCCTCGGCGACCCTCCCGGTGCCTTTGGCTTCCTGGTCACCCCTCAGGGACCCTCCTGGCCTTGCGTTCACCTTCCACACACGTTCCCCGTGTCCCTTGGCCTCCCTGGTCACCCCTCTGGGACACTTCCAGTGTCCCTTGACTTCCCCGGTCACCTCCCCCGACTCTCAGTCACCCCTCGGGGACCCTCCAGGTCACAGAGCGCTCGAGGTGCAGAAGGGACCTTTAGAGATCCTCTAGCTCTGTTCACCCCGTGTCCCTTGGGCTCCCTCTGACACACACCCCCCCACCAGCACCCCGGTCACCCTCCGTGCTGCCCCCATGGCCCCCTACCACTTCTAGCGATCTCCCAGCCACCCTCCCACTGCCGCATGCCTCCCTATCACTCCTATCGAGCCTCTGGCCCCTTCTGTCGTCCCTCCCCATCACCTCCCTGCACCTAGGCCCGTGTCCCCAGGCCTCTCCCTAGCGCCTCCTTTTCCCCGCTCCATTCCTTGCTCCTTCCTGCCCAGCTCCTCTCTTCAGCCTTCCCTCTATTCTGGTCCTCATTTTTCCTTTCCCTTCTTCCCTCTCTCCTACTGCCCTGAGCCACCCCGGCGCAACAGGCACCTGTAGTCCCTCTCCGTGGCGTTGTAGCAGCTTTGATCCCCTTCTGTAATATGGGAAACTCTCTCCTTGCTCAGCTTCTAGATACTCGTGTATTTTTAGCTTCTCTTCGCTGGTTAGACAGGTTGGACTGACAGGTAGCATGCATTCATCCTGGGCACTGAGCTCCTCAGTCAGCTGTAGCAACAGGGCATTATCACTGTGGGTCACGTTTCTAAAAGCACCCTTATATCATGGTATCTTGTGCCTGGCTCTGTTTGGTTTGGCACCGTGCCATTCTGGGTAGCAGGGGGTTAGCAAGGGGATAAAAATCCTCGTTTCACCTCTCTGGAAGCTGACTCCTGTACCCAAAAGATTTAATACCGTCTCTGTCTTAAACTTTTTTTGGTGTCAGTAGCATGAAAGACTCAAAAAGAATTGCCTGTCATTACACTGCAGTGCGAACAATAAAGCTAACATTTCCTACTTTCTTACTTTTAGTCCTTTGAGGATTAGCAACCTTTAGCCGTTGTTATCAGTTTGACCCTGACGATAAGTTATGCAAATGAGCACGTTCAGTCATTTTATGACTCATCCCCATCCGACCTTTGTGCTCATTTAGGAACGCATGAAGCAAATTATTTTGTCTTCTTCCTTCAGCAGTGTCTGCTGGATTATTTTGTTGGAGAAAAAAGGAGTATCCCTTAGAATGGTTTTATCTCTGCTCGTCTTCCTGAGAAAGCAGCAAAGAGGCAGGTTGAGGCAGCCTTTTCTATTGCTAATCTAGGCATTGACGTTAATTTAGAAACTTCTCTTTTCCACACCTACTTTCTGCCATCTTTTCAACATTATCATTCTAGGTAGGGCTAACTTTCCACCATAAGGGTCTAGATCATTTTCTTGCATCTTCTGCAGTTTCTGTTCCTCATACTCAAGCATGTGCAGAGTGCTGTTACACACTTCCTGCATTTAAAGGAAAAAAATCAAAGATGGTTAAAATCTTTGCTTTTGAAGCACTTCCTTGACTTGCTCTTGATGATGATTTGATAATGTCTATCTCACAAGAAAGATCTGTGGAAATTAATCTGCAGTTTCAAGCCCCTTAGGACACAAAAATATCTACAGATCAGGATAAATGCTTAAGAAAATGTTTACTTATATTGAAAAGAGAGGCCAGCCATTGCTAATATGTACTCAGTTGGCACAGGACTTTGTGGAAAATCAAGGAGGCTGAGTATGTTTTATTTTACTTTTTACTGTCGACAACAATAGGACAGGATGAGGCATTAATAATAATTATATCTGAGGACTGTCCAGCTGGCAAGTTGCAAGACAATCCCATCCTGCCTCCAAATGATTTCAGATGGTTTTTTATGGGCTTGTGCTTGCCCAGACACTCCACCTTCAAAGCCTCATGGGTTGGCAGTGAGATGACTTACCCACAGAAGTGCAAAGTTTGGACAGCCTCGAGTAGACAGCACCATAAATGTACACAGCACTTTGCATAGGTCAAAGACTGTACTTACTTATTCCTGCTTCCTGTATATACACTCTGCCCATATGATGCATGAAAAAGGACTCTATTGCACTTTACACTCAAATTTTAAAAGGCAAGAAAGATGAAAGGAGATTAGACTAATTCAGGGAAGAACTTGGCACAGCTGAGAGAGAGCAGTTGGTGAACACAGTTTAGGAAACAGTTTCAAGCATAAGGAGAGTTTGTCTGGGGTGTATGAATCTGAAAGTAAGAGAGGACAGGAGCTGTAATTTTCCGGCTGGGCACAAACCATTTCTAATCACCATGCCATTTGGAGGTACCAGCCTGCAGCTATACTCACGTTAAAAAGTTGTGCCTCACCAAAGCACTCAGATTGCAATTGAAGCTACCACACTGCTATTTACACCTGACCACATGAAAATGCTCATAATTTGTGTCCAGGCCATAGCTTCTGGCTGAGTAACAGGATAGCTCGTAGAAAGATACTGAATTGTGATTGACTGAGGGCTTGTCTGCAGCAGGGCTTGCTCTAGAACAGACACTGTTGATCAACTGCCTGTGTGGACATGTTTCTCAAGTAATAAGAGTGATTTCCAGGTGGGCAATTGAGAATAGCTGTTCGGCTTTACTAACCTCACCTTAGTCCAGATTAGTTTTTTCTGCATATGCGTGCAAATACTGCAGGAGATGGAGAATCTGCTTTGTCTGTGAACCTATCCCCAGCTGCATCTGCCCAGCACCCAGACACTGCAGACATCTTTGCAACCCTATAAATGTCACCAGCCATCAGGAATCCAGCTCAGTATCTCATCTCTCGTGAAGTCTCTGTTGTGTGAAAGTGGCAGCCACTCATGTGAAGGGGAGACAGGAGTTGTGGGACTGTGATTAAATTCAAGTTGCATTCTAGTGTGCTTCAACACCTATCCTGCCACATATTTAGTGTGGTACCAGCATCACATTGGGTGAAAGTGATGATCATAAAACAGCTGCATTTAATTTGTTCTTGTAAGCTTCTCATTTCGAGTTAAATCTGTTGATATGGACAAGTCGTTTGGATCTGAAAGTCTTAAACACCTCTGTTTTTCTGTTTTTCTGTCATCCCACTGTATGTATTTAAGCAAAGACAGCACTTCATTTCTTAAACCACTTGGAACATGGGAACAGCCGTTTTGAGTCAGGCCAAAGGTCCGTCTAAATCAGTGTCCTGTCAGTGGCAATGGCTAATAGCAGGTAAAGAACAAATAGTATAGAGCAAAGGGTATAGAAGTACATCATGGCTTGATTATTTTCTTTTATATCTCAAAGATTTAGAAATGAAATGAAGGGAATGGGGAACTTCAGCAGAAAGATGACTTTGGATTCCCCTAGAGGTGGCATTTCTCTGTGATATCGTTATTCTCAGGTATGTGGCATATTGTTATGTTTTTTTCAGGCAAAATATATTAGTTAAGAAAAGCTAAAACGCCACCACCTTTTAAATGTTAAAGGAAAAATAAAACGTAACTATCGGACTGACCCTAGGAGCTTTGAGTTACATTCTCAGGGATATACATCTGTAACGGGTAATGCTAGGCAAAGTATGTATTTCTCTTTCCTGCAGATTCCCAGTTTACTTATACAAGAGATGTGACTGTGAAGTTAAGTTCATTATTATTTTTACTGTGTTACAGTCTTAAAATGAAAGTCAATGTTAAAGGGTAAATGCTATGTTATGCATACTTGAAAAATTAAATCTTAAAGGTCAGAAATTAAGCAACTTTAATTCAATCATTTTACTCTTATTCTCTCTATCTCCTGTTAAATACCTTTACTTGCTACCTAACATCTTTCTTAGAAGCAGCTGAACCTTTAACTTTACAAAGATATTATCTCTGTGTTCTGTTCAAGAGTTATTAGTAACAGAGCTGGCTTTTGCCACATTGCTGGGTTGTTCCAGAGCTCATTTGGTATTGTTAGAATCACTAATATTCTAGACTAGGAGGAGCCCAAGCACCTGAGTGAGTGACCATTTTCTGGTAAATGAGCAAAGGGTACTGACTGTTACAAATTATGCCGAGAATCTACCAAACTGGCCTTCTGCAAGGCTGCCCTAGACATGCATACTGGGAGAGGTCAGCAAAATGATATGCTACGGAAAGACAAGTGACTGCTTGGGACCAAATATCTGCAGTGTGCAGTTAGTCTATATCAGAAGAGCACAGAGTAAGATGGAAGGAGGCGATCAGCTTTGATCTGTTGCAGGATTCACCTGCTTTTGTTTTAAATTCTTTTCTCTTCCTGTGAGACTCTCTAGTCTTCATGTTTCCTATATGTTTTTTTGCTTTTCTCTTTCTCCTTCCATTCAGGCCCTCACTCACACTGTAAGCAATATCTACCTCAAATCCTCTCAGTACTGCAACTCATTTCTATTTTCTCTCCTAATAGAATTTTACTTTTCTGACATATTGCTGTTTGATCTTTGTCCGGATGCCCTTGGATCGGTACTCTTTACTGCTCATTCCTCCTTTCTTCTTTTCCCTGTTTCCTGTTCCATTCAGTCTCCAGTTTCACTATGCTTAAACACTTTCTGCACCCTTTTCTCACCAGGGAGAATTAAAGGGAATTCCACCAGAAGAATATCGTTCTGTGGGTAAAACACAGGCCCAAGCATAGGAATTGGGACAAATAAATTCTACTGAACTTCGTATTTCAAGCTAATAGAAAATTGCACCCCTCCCGCAACAAGAGTACAGAGGAGGCATAGTTCTTGCTATGTAATCATGCCAGAGTGACACAGATACATTATTATTGCTCAGACAGAACCAGATGTAGAGGCACAGATTTGCTGTCAGCCTGGGACTTACAGAATCGGATAGCGTGTGAACATTGAGTTAGCTGTTTAACTCCACCATAAATGGAACTTCTCCCATCTATAAAAGCATAGTAGCCTCTATCCACCAGGAATAGGTCGTCCTTGAATTTGCAGGTTGTGGCTGGTAGCAGCCAGCTTTTGCTTATAGAAATGGGAGCTTATTTGAGTAACGCTTAAAACAGATCTTTAGTTGCACAGTATGACAGGTACTAGATGAGTGCAAATATTAATGTAATTTTAGGTCATTTTTTCCATGTCTTCACAGTTGGTTGTTAATGGAAGTTAGATGCTCTGCAACAGCCACTATCAATTAAACTGTCACTGCTGGGGCATATTCTCTATTAGCATTTTCTTCTCTGTCAGCCTCACTAATTTTAACGTGGTGCTACGACACCAGGTTAAGAAGAAAATGCAGTCAGTTATTTACAGTGACCCACTTGACCGTCTTCTGGCAGCAACAAATGGCAAGGCGCACTGTCAAGTGCCAGTACTGATTTCTTTTCTAATGATCTAAGAGCTTCAGGACAAACGTTTCCAGATGTAATTTCTGCTTATTTCTGATTGCTTCTGTGCTGTCACTTCAGGTTTGGAGGGCAGGACTGAGAGCAGCATCAAATCCATTTCATCCCAGCATAGCCTTTATAGTGAAGAGTCATCCTTGACAGATGCAAACTGAATAGAGAGCTTGTCTCAAGAAAAGCAAAACTTTTGAGATAAATCTTAGTAAACTGATGTATTTGATTCCTCAGTGTTTGGAGTTAGAAGACAACACGGAAATGTGGTGGTTTCAGCAAGGCCTCTCTTTCTTGCCTGTGGCTTTGGTTGTGTGGTCAGCTGCATCTTTTATATTTTCATACATTACTGCAATCATCCTACACCATGTCGACCCTTTGGTACCCTACATCAGGTCAGTAAAGTTGATACAATCGCACTGTTGACTGTATCTTACTACTGAATTGCCCTCTCACTCCTGCCAATTCTTCCCCAACTCCAAACTTTAAACAACATTTTTTTAATTAAAGTTATACACATATAATTGTAAACAACCAGTGAGTCTATTTAAAGCTATCTATTTTTGTGCAAATGTTTAACCTTTAAGTTGTTGTGGCTCTGTGACCGTATCCTTAAAATGATGGTGAATGAGAAAATTGGGGGTGCATCTCTAGCCCTCTTTTTGGAATAAAGCTTCTTGCCGTCACAAAGTTTGGTTTCATCAGTAAATCTATACTGTAATCTACATTCCTGACTGGATAGCAATAAGGTTGCACATATGACCTTACTTTTGGCCTTTCAGTTTTCCAGGTTCTTCATTTTCTAATTTTATTACTCTTTATTCACCTTTTATATAGAATTAAGATAAATATAAAAGGAATAGCTATACTGAGTATGTTTGTTCCTTGTTCTAAGAATGCTATTGTCCTTACCACGCTTATTTATACAGCTCTAGAAACTAACACGATATAGCTTAAGTCATGAAAAATTCAGTGAAAAATAGCTGGGAGGGTTTTGCAAACCTATTTCTTGCTGTTTCTTTGTAGACTGAAATAAAGTCGTGTTGCATCTATACTTTTAATATAGATGGAGATCACTGTTTATTTCTTCCAGTGATACAGGGACAATACCTCCTGAAAGATGCTTATTTGGGATCATGCTAAATATTTCGGCTTTCATGGGTGAGTATAGAAAGTTATCCTTGGCGAACTGTAAGCAGTTCTGGAATGCACACTATTTTAAACAGTTTCTGTATTCAGAACATTAAACAGCCAATGAACCACAGTCAAAAGCTAAATTCTAAGTAATCTGTCTTAATACTCTTAAGTAATTGAGAGGAAAGCATGTTGCAGGGATGTTATCCACAAAGCCAGCATGACAGTTGCAGATTCCAGAAGGCCAAAAATGCCTTCCAAAGAAACCTAGACTGGTAAAAGAAATAGAAAGGCAACTTTAAGGCAATCAGTCCCCTTTGTGCTGTAATTATGGGAGGAGGCAGGGGGAACAACCTAGTATGTCTTTCAAATGAAAGAGATCAGAAAATCTAGTCAGTCAGTAAAAAAAGAATAAAATGAATTTCAGAATGGAACAGAGAATGTATAATTCTAGCTAAAGTTTATATAGAGGTATACTTTTATATATTTATATAGATATCATGAAATAATATTTTATATATATTTTTATATATATATATATATTTCAGTTTTATCTTTCAAGTTCTCAGCTTTCTATTTTAGTGTGCAATAACATAGCTTTTGTTACTCAAAACAATTACGTAATTGCCTTTGTCACTCAGCATCTTTCCAGTTCAAAAGGACAGTCTGCTTGTCAGCTTAAGATCTTCATGCATTCGAGTTCTTCATTTGTAGGTATGGCTACCATGTATGTCCGTTATAAGCAAGTTCATGCTCTGAATCCAGAAAAATCCAAGATCACCAAGCTTAATGTGATTGGCCTTACACTAGGACTGATGAGCTGCTTTGGACTTTGCATTATTGCAAATTTCCAGGTTTGTAGTTTGCTTGCAATTTTCTGAAGCTGTCCAGAATTCTGTTTGTCTGTTTACTGATATCTGATAAGATATGAGGGGTTGGCTCAAAGCAAAACTTTTGGGGGAACCTGTTTTTTATCAAATTCCCTATAGAAAACTGTTAGAAAATTGAAGTTTCAGTATGGAATTTCTTACACATTTATGACTTGCTTTCTGGGACTTGTCAGCAGCCATTCATGAAGGTCCAAAACATTTCTAAAAAGTTTTCCAGAAAGCCAACATCTTCAGTTTCCTTCTCATAGAACATTTGAAAGTCTTCGTTCCAGATTAAAAGACCACAAATAAAGTATATTGCATTTTGATTCAGGAGAATCAAATGCCAAATATTAGAAAAAATTTATAACCAGAAATAACACCAACAAAAACACCTGACCCCACAAGAAGCCTAGCTCTAAAAAAATCTAGCCTCTTTGGTATATTTTCCTTCAAAACCTACCCAATTATTGAAAATACTGCAATCTCAGTCAGCTTTTGAAATTTTTCCTCCCAGTATCTCAATTTTTTATTCTTCTCTACAATACCTCTTTTGTTTGTTTTTCCAAAACCTGATACTCTCAGATATTCACACCATCAGCAGGGCCACATTTAGCCTCACTGGCTGTTATATGCAAGAAAGCTGTGCAGTCACCAGCCTTGTCATATTAGTTATCAGCTGGATTTTTTTCAGGGGTCTGTACTGGTACCTTCGGCCACTAGAGGCTGCAGTGGCACCTGCTTAGTCTCCTGGATCAGGGCCAGGATTAGAAGCAGAGGGCAGCAGGGCCTGGAAAGCTCTACTTTCCTCACTTCCCAATAGCACAGGTCTCCATTGCTTCAACACCCCATCTTAGGAAGCTCAGCACGTTGATCTTTACATTTCCTGGAGGCTTCAGTCAGTTTGCTTTTCTACAGCCCTCGCTGTAGCCAGGATCACAGAGTCTCCTCTACCACATCTACCAAGCAAGAGGGCCCAAGCTGTGATCTGCTCCATGATTTGCCTCCACCACTGATCAGAAGAGGGTACGTCTACTTTTTGTAGATTTCTAGATAATCAAAATGTAGAAAATGTGTGTGCATTTCTTAACTGGTTTGTATAACATTTAATCTTTAGCAACGCAAAAGTTGCCAGTGATGCATTAGCATATCTGAGTGGTGGTCAGGCTCTATTGAGGGCCATTCCAGCGGCAAAAGGAGCTAAAAATCCCTGAAGTCCACTAGTTACTGAAGACAACCAAAACGTGAAAGAACATGTGTGAAGATGAACACAGAGGACATAACCATCAAACAGAGAGCTCTAGACAATTCTCATTGTCTGGGAGTAAAAGCAATGGCACAGGGTTCATGCTCACAAGGATTTTCATTTATGCTGTTGAACTGGTGCACCTGCTCTGTTCTAGCTATGGCTATTGATTTCCCTTTCATACAGGACAAAGACTTCTCTCTGTTGAAGTCTTATCACTGAATAGTGCATGCTTTCAGAACACACACTTTTGGCTATTAACTAGCAGTATGTATACAATTTACATTTCTGTCTTTGTTCCACTGCTGTGGATATTCCTTAAAATGCATTTGCACTCCATAAGGTGCACTTTCAGATTGTAAAGAAAGCATGACTCTGATTCCTGATCTTAATAGTTACTCAGTAAAACACATAGACAGTCTCATGCTTTAGGGCATAAAATGATCATCTGCAGGACTGGGAGTACAGTAAGGCTGCCAGGCTTTGCACTGCACAATTGGCAAGATGCACTTAATTTTCTGCCTTCGGGTACTGTGCCCAGTTAGTGATTAGAGGAGCAGACTGAACGTACTCAATTTTTTGATGGCATAGATTGTGAGTTTGTTTGGTTTTGCTGGAATAATTTCTAGTTTTAAGGATTTTTACTACTTGACATCTGATTCTCCTGAAGTGTTAGTTTGTTTATTTATTTTTTTAAGTTGAAAAGTATTACTTTCTGAATTCTCAGAACAAGGTTGAATCAAAAATATTAGTTTGACAAAAAAAGTATATTCAAACTCAAGTTGAAAAGGACTAAACCTAGCTATTTCATTTTTAACATCATTTTTGGGACTAGGTTATGTGTTGTGTTTATCTTGTATTATGTTATCCTCCGTAAACACTCAAATTCCTGAGATGGAAAAGCTCAACAGATAGCCTGTTGTAACCCTTCTTACCTGCCCAGCTGCAGGGATTCCTTCATCCAATTTCTGTGTTACCATGCATTTTTCTTTGAATACAGCTAATGAGAACAGCTTTTATAAATTCCTGTGGTTAAGATATAGCTGTGATCTGTAACTTAGCCACAGGAACTTACCAGAAGCAGCAATAGAGAGGGCTGTTAGGTGCTGGCTTCTAGCTCACTCTATATGGGGTTTCCAAGAAAATATCTTAAGTACTGACCTGTTCCAAAACTGCTTAGCTTCAGATGTACGAAGATAATTGAGCAGCTGGAGTCTCATACAAAGGTTTACAAAACAAAAGTGTTCTCTGAGCTTTAAATGAAACCAGGTTATGTATTAGTAGTACTTTCTTTCCTTAGAAATGTATTCTATACTACATACATGTGATTGGAGCCTGCCTGACATTTGGAGTAGGGGCTGTGTATATGCTGGTTCAGACCATCCTATCCTACCTGATGCAGCCAGAAGCTCACAGCAAAGACATCTTTTGGATCCGACTGACAGTGTTACTCTGGTGTGGTTCAAGCATTGCAAGCAGTATCCTTTGCTCGGAAGTATGACCATAGAATAGAGGAACCTCTCTACAAGCAGTAGCATTTGCAAATAGGTTAGTTTAACCTGCCAATATGAAAAAATACACCACAGGTGGCCTGCCATCTTTAGATATACAGCTTGTACTGTACTATGGAATCATATTCTGTGTTGCAACATGGGAACTTTAGCATAAAGGGAATCATCAGGTTAAGCCCACTAGTGAGTCACTGGCTAGTAAAAGACAAGAGGGATGGTAAACCCTTCTCCTCTCCCCTCCCCATGCACGCAAGAGAGTGAAAATGACAAAATAAGAGTTTGTTGCAAAGAATCTTGACTGCAGATTATTGCAGATGAGGAGAAAGAAGTATACTTGAGGCAGGTGGGTTTAGTGGGGAAAAAACAGGCGAGAAATCAGTTGTTGTTCTCTGGTGGTGTGAACACTGCAGCATTTTTTATAGTTGGATAAAACCAAGAAGAGTACAGAACATAGCATAAGAGAAAATATCACTAACCTAGCAGTGCATGTTAGTGATACACTATGCCAGATGGCTTCCAGGGGAGCTTTAAAGTGCTGGCTTTTAAAGTGATCGCCTTTGATGGCCTCAAGTCTGCTTGAGAGAAAACTCTGGAGCGTTCTGCCAAGGTTGAGTCAGAAGTGCAATTTGACCCCGATCTCTTCTCGGCCCATCTTTAGTTCAACTGACAAGAAATTTCTGACAGGCATTCCCTACAACCTTCCCTTGACTCTGGAATCCATCATCTCCCATAATTTTCATTTCTCAAGTGCTGGAAGCAGCTACAGGTTTTACAGAAATGTGGGCAAACCCCTCCAGAAAGAGGAGCCTTCTTTTTGTCCAGAGACATTTAATATCAGGAAACTGAACCACAGCAGTGCCTTTGTTAAACATTGTATTTTGAAATTGCACCTAAACATTGTATTTTGAAAATTATGACTCAAGTTTGTGACAAACAGGACTATAAAACTCAAGGATTAGAATTTACATTCCAAAGGCACAAGTCCAAAATCATCATTAGATGCTGTCTTTCTGCAACTGAAGCAAGGCCACCTATTTAATCCCCACCAGTTCCACTTATTTCTAGGCTGACAGCCAAAACCGACACTGAACCACACACCCAGTTTCCCATTGGCAGAGAGTCTAGCTGATCCCTGAGCTCCCGTTCCTGCTACTGCAAGATTATATAATCTGTTCTTGTCGGACAAGACGTGAGAGTCTGGGCACTGGCAGTTGCACGTAAAGAAGAGAGAAGGATCCTTATCTACTGAGGAGTCTTGACACAGAATAAGGAAGTCATCTGCAAAACTTCAGAGAATTGAAGTCCTGAAACATCCTAGGAAGCATCAAAGAGCCAGCTGATAGCCCTAACTCAGGACTGCTTAACCCAGTGGGGAATTTCAATCCTGAAGACAATTGTGATGGAACAGGGAGTTAGCTGCAGAATTGCATGGCAGCATGAAACAGAGTTGTGACATTGTATAGCTCTCCTTTTTCCAAACAGATTACAGTCTTCACCATATTGGCCATTTTGGGTGCTAGAGAAGAACACGCTTTTCAACTTTGAACAATTAGGAGCCAAACACAACAGGAGAAGACTTTAAAATGCAACAGTATGAACTGGATGAAAGTTAAGAGCCTTTTACAGATGCCAAAAAGAAAGCCACAAGCCCAAAGTCTATAGAGTTTTCCAACCAGTGTGGTCTAACCAGAATTAGAGGGAAGTGAGGACAGCTGTAGAAGTGGGAGGAAAGGGTAGTTGTCAGAGTATTTTCTACGTTAGCAGCTCTAGATCTATTAAGGAAAGAAAATAAGAGGGACAAATCTATGGCCATGGGTGAAATGGTTGTATCTGGTACTAGAGGCCAGAAGGAATCCTAAGAATCCCTGATGCGCTGCTGGACTGAAACAGAAGAATCTTCAACGCAGGAAGAGCAAAGCAGGTTGTTACCTGTCCTGTAACCAAGGGGAGGGTGAGAGCCAGATATTTTTGAATCTGGATGATTAAATTCTTTCCATTTCAGTAGTCCCTCAGGCAGGTAACACACAACTATTAAAGCTGGACATTTTAGTTAGCAGAACTGGGTGTCTTGCATGCAGCGTTCGAATCACTTAACCAAAGAGCTCCCTGGATCATTCACATCAAATTTTTAATAAGCTTTGGAAGTCTGTATGCTCAAAGGCATAAACATGCCAGGAAGTTCATCCTTGTTCACCAGCAAAATTAATCTTGGATATCAGGAGGCTCTTGATTTTTAACCCTCTTAAGGATTGAAGAAGTTAATTAAGATACAAATTTCATTTATAAAGGCAGTAGCATTTGATGTAGTGTGTCTTCACCTCTGTACGGTGTTGAAAATGCAACTTCTTAATAACTGAGAGCAGCCTGCTGAATTTGTATTGTTCTACATGCAGAAGCTCCCCAGGTCTCCAAGCAAACGAAGAATGGTTGTCATGTGGTTTTGTTTTTTTGGGGTTTTTTTTGCCACTGTACCAAACCAGTTAGCAAACCCTGAGCGGATTAAGAGGGAAACAGGAAGGTTAATAACCCTGTATCTGGCACTGTTTCAAAGGATACAGTATTCTAGTGCATAATCCACACATCAAGAATTCCAGGTGGTTGAGAACTTGAAAAGCAAGCAGAGAAAGAGGTGCCGACACTGTTAAACTGGAAAAATATCACTGCCAAAAAAATTCAAGGTGCATAGTATGGTTCACATTTGATCGTAGTCCACGTGCTTTCATAAGGATCTTATATTTGATCAAGAAGGTATAACAAGATCCAGCATCCAGAATACAAAGATCATTGATTTAGATGATAATTAATTCTTTAGTGTGACAGTAGTTGACTGTTGGAGCAACCTACAGGTTGAAGGGAATGATGTGAAACAGTCTACTTCATATAATCATTACTATTCATTACACTCAGGAGACCTTGGGGCACAAAAATACCCAGAAATCTCCATGCAACCTGAGGATGAAACAATCCAGAGCTGAGATTGAAACTTTTAAGTTGCTAATGCTTTGTCTTGAATCTTCCTTAACACATTCCTTTACAGTGTTTATTTCCTCCGTTGTTTTATATAGTGGCCTGTATGGAACTAATCTAGTGCAAAAGTTGCACTGGGACCCACAGGAGAAAGTAAGTGATTCGGAGTGGAAAAAAATCAAGCAAGTTCATGGGAGTAGCGCCTTGCTCAGCACTGTAAAAGGTGTTCATTAGATGAAGTTTAATACAGCCTAACCTAACACTTGGTAAGCTAAGGCTCCTAATCACACCGTGCAGATTCGCTTGTCTGTTGGGGTTCTCCAGTGAAGGAACATGTGTGTTTTTGCGAGGTCAGTGACAAATGCATCTGGGAATTTACTGCTGTTGCAGATAGCTCTGTGTTTTCAGTACTTGCAATGGGGCAGGACAAGCGAGCTTTACCAGTTGAGCCAGTATGCAGTAGGCAAAACAGTCACAGCTTCTAGCATTATTTTACATTAAGCTCATGGGCAGTAACTGAACTGCCTCAACTTGTTGTCAGGATACTGGTCTGTCTGGTCTGTGCTGGTCAGAGATTCATGGCCAGTGTTAGACTATAACTGTAAATTATGGATCACACATGCTAGCTGGCTGCAATGAAGAGGAGTTCCTGGCTGCTGTTAGATGGGTGTCTGGTGGAGTTAAGAGGAGAAAAAAGGTCAAAGGATGCAAACAATATAGCCGCTTTTGAAGTGATAAGTACCAGTATACCACAGTGGTGGGATCCCAGCTGGAGCAGAAAAGGGGCAGCAAGGTATGCACTTCTTGACAGCTCTGCTTACTTCCCTGGTCTTCCTCCTTCTCTCCAGCCTGGGTTAGGGGGTGGGCGTTTACGGGAGAACAAACTCTCCAGGCTGGGTTAGGAGGGTTTCCCCTACTTCTTTGAAGTGCAAGAGGCTTCCTAGAAGTCTGCTCACCTCCAAGGGAACGCCTTGATCTTTTTAGGAAGATTGGAGTACTTCAGTAAAGTGGTTCTGTTACTGGCCAAGTCAAGCTTTTTTATGGACCCTTCAGTTACTGCTGCTCAAGATTCAATTCTGGGTGGGAGGCAGGGGAGTGATCCCAGTTGTGTGGGGCAGGTGTTTTCCTGGTCATTCTCACTCCAAATTCAGTACTTCACTCTTGGAGACTCCAGATAGTCCTGAGAATTTATTTTTTCACAGGGAATAGTTGTGGATGCGAGATGTCATCAGAGAACGCCTTATTTGTGCCACTGCAGGCTCAAGAGTAGCTTCTCACGCTAATTTTTTTTTCTCCCTTCTTTTACACAGGGCTACACAGCTCACATCATCAGTACTGTCTCAGAGTGGTCCTTAGCATTCTCCTTTCTCAGCTTTTTCCTCACCTATATCCGTGACTTTCAGGTAAAATGAAGTTACATTAAACAGTGCTTTGCCATACTCTAAATGGCCTGATATTATGCCAAACGGGCTGTGTTTACCAGTTTCTAAACTAAACAATATATATATCATTATCATCAAGACTGAGAGACCTGCAGCATGAACAGCATTATATACAGTCCTCAGGAGGATCTGCTCCTAGTGCGTTAACAGCAGTGAATAACACAATCACCTGCTCCTAGTGCGTTAACAGCAGTGAATAACACAATCACCTCCTTCCTGAAATGCCAGCTCTAAATCATAGTCACAGGGGAAGTTTGCTGTCAAATTGCGTGGCAAGTTAAGGAGTCACTCTAGGAGAACAGCTTGGTAATCAGGTTAATAGTTCTGGAGCTGGTCTGCATTTCAGGGTATTTAGTTTGACTGTAGAAACTACTTGTCCATGCTGAAGAAGTGACAAACCTCTAAGTTGCGTTTGCTTTTCTTTTTCTTATCATAGAAAATCTCCTTGCGTGCAGTTGTTAGCCTTCATGGACAAACCCTTTATAACACGCCACAGAGCTTTATGACTGACGAACAGACACTGCTGATAGCAGGGAGCATCTAATGAAGTTGAAGAGAACACGTTCTCAACATAACTCAGGACTTTAGTAGCAATAACAGTGATATTTCTAAGGATTTATTTTGTATAAAAAATAGGAAGTGATTGTATTCAAATTGACATAAATGGCTTTGCTATTAACCCGCTACCCACTCAGCAATGCAAATGTTAATCAGTATTGTAAACAAACCTGTAACATTTCTACACATGCAAATGTCATGAAAAACATTAAATGAAGGTATTAAAAAGTTGTGTCTCCTCATCACTTCCCTGCCCATGCCCAATGGAGCAGCAGCACAGAATTTATCCCCTTCAGCCCCTTGCCCTGTTCTCTCCAGCGTTCCCTAAGCCAAGGCCTTTGGCTTGTATACAGCCCGCAAGTTCAGCCTAGAGCTGCTCTCCAACCTCTTCCTTCCTATGCTTTTGGCACCCTTGTTTGGGTAGCAGGAGTTGACCCATGACATGCACACTATGCCAGAGCTGAAGGTCTCTGCAAACAGCTCAAGGACACCAAAGCCAACTTCAGCAGACACCTATGAGGAAAGCCGTCTCTTTACACCTCAATTCCCTCCAGAGGGCAGGAGAAGCCAGGTAGCATTTGCTTGAGCAGCTCCCTTTCTTGCTATAAGGGGTCTTACCAAGAGGGTGTGACTCCTTGGCATGCGCCAGTTCTGGTGTTTAATACTGCCTCGGGAGGAGTCACAAGGCATGTCAGTAGAAACAGTGACCAGAACAGGCTGCTCCAGGGTAAAACTGCTCTAATCCAAACTTGTTCTTCCTTCCCTCGGCCTGAAGATGCTTGAGCTGAGAGACAGGTTTGCCCAAGAGTCCATGTGCAGAGTGTCCCTGTGGCTCAAGTCTGGAAAGATTCAGAGCACGCAGCACTCATCCTGCTCACTCAACTGACATTCTAGAGAGAGGGGGAAAGCACCAACTCTGAACTGAGCACAGAGCATAGCATGACAGATGCCCTTGTAGCCTTGATGTCCCTTATACTCCCACGAGAGGGAGCTCCCAGGTGGCTCCTGATTGGGTGGGTCAAGCACCCTCGTGAGTCACTGCTAGGCAGAGGCCTATATAAGAGCCAGGCCTAGAGTGCAGCCAACAGAGGCAGTGAACAGATGCAGCAGTTTGTGCAGCAGGGCACTAGAAGGG